TTGGTGCGGCAGGGGAGAAGCGGTGAACAATCATCCAGGGAACACCAGGCGATGCTGATCCATCCGTCTTCGATGGGAGGCTGTCTCCTTGAACAGCCCTTTCTGGTCGGCTGCCGTGATTTTCTACAAGACTCTCCATTTCGGGGCCTGAACCCAACTGGAAATGTCCTCACGCTGGGCAGAACCCAGCCTTAGGGCCATTTGTGGGGTATTCTAAATGCTTCGCGAACCGTAGTACAGAGCATAAGACAGGTCCATGATGGGGCCGTTACGGCATAGGAACATGGTAAAGCCCCCGGCGGTGGGGTCAAAAGGTTAGTACTCGAAAATTTGCGAAGTTGAATACTCAGCATGACTTTGCTCTGCCGAGATTCGTTCGAATGGGATAGGATGATAACAGTCCTTGCTGGTGATGACGATCCTAAATTGTTTAGGTATCGACCTAACTAGTCGCTTGTTGGGTACATCGCATGAGTCATCTTTCAGACAACTTCGGAAGCTAAACACGACGGACCTATCTGAGGTCGGCAGATGAGAGATGAGCCCATTAGTAGTACCCACAAGATCCAGGGACGAAGTCCGATTTTATGCTAGCCACTGTTGAACCACTTACCAACCACTGTGAAGTGTGAACACCCTGAATGTACCCCTCCTTCTGAATTAATGGTAGTTCCAGTGTCGATGAATCCGTCTGCTGGAGAGCATGAGAAAGTAAGACACACCTGGATGGAGCTCTGAATGATGATAGCGTTTAGTACTTCTCTAGCCTTGAACTGACGAACTAAGTCTCCGCGCTACTGAGTAGTTGGTCTGACGGTCATGTTAAGCGTGATGTGTTTCAGATTGGTTCGCCACCGCCAGCGCAGGGATGTTCGCGTACGGTATCTGGCAAAGGTTGACAGACTAAGTGGGAAGATTTAGAAGGCAGGAAATTTGTATACAAATCGGATTTAGCATACCTTTTCCTTGCCAGTAATTCCAGACTGCAGCTAACCTTGTGATCAAGAGATAACAACTGCTAGTCTGCATGTCACGATCCTCAAGGAAATACTAGATAATCAATCATCCATTTCCGTTTACCGATTGTGAGATAACGGTAATTTTACCCCCCACCAAAGGTGAATCGCCTCATTATTCCATCCAATACACTGCACAAAGTACTGTACCTACAGGATGATACCTGCTAATGGCCCCCATGTCCGATGGCTGCAGGAATAGGTCCGAGGGTCATGAAACAGCGAGCCGGCGCTTCTTGCTAAGAGCCACTGCGCTCATGGTCCATGTCTTCTGGAACTGGCTTGCGCGTGACTCTCCATATCTTTAGTACTCAACACCATTCACAATGGACGTCACTGGACATGTCTACGCCATGAATTGATAAACTGTCGATCTCACGTGATGTTATGAATGGTCCGACAAGTACTTTTTACTTCTGATGGTGGATCCATCCTTTGTAGGGGCGTTTCGCCGCTCCGCATCTGTGCTTTGGCTACTTTGTATGTGGTTGCCCACTAATCGCTGTGCCTGAAATTCGTCGAATGGAAATCTTTCCGATGGAGAACTTCGACTGCCAAGTGGCAATGGCTTCTAAAATTGCGGTCAAGAGAGAGCCCACCGCCTCAAACATACTTTGTACACAGTAGTGTCGTCTCAATTATCATCTCCCCACATGCTCCGCAGAGGACTTAATTGATCTGTCGCCAACTTCTACCCACCTTTCAATCTCATGAGCCATTCCAATTGCTTGGAATATGCAGTCTGCATTCATGAAGCCAGTAACAGCTGTGCTCCATACACCTACTCCAAGAGATGTGGTACCGGATACCTCCAGCTCCGAAATGGGCAAAGGCAATTATCCCCTGAAGACTGGACATGTTGTTGCCCAACCCCGCAAACTACGGAGGTTAGCCGACATTGCAGCCAAAATTGCAGCCCTGCTTTCGAAAAGAGAACAGTGGCTCCTAACGAGTGTAGCCAGAACTTTGGCCCTCTAGTGCTCATCAATGTTATATCTAAGGTCGTAGTGAAGTACTCAAAACGGTCCTCTCATTACAGCAGCACCTCCAACTGTAGCTGCGGATGCAGTTTTCTAATTGTATGGTCGTTTATTGGGGCGTCATTGCTGGCACCTGACTATCAACCAATTTGACATTATGGTCGGTAGCTACTGCAGCCATATGGCATAGTTGGTAGTCTGTTACCATACGACAGAAGAAGCTAGAACTAACTGAGTATTATCCCAATGCGCCGCATGAATGGTATGGTATCCCTTGCGGGAATCTCGGGATTCCCGCGACATTTTCGATGGTGTTCTGTCAAGACCAGTCCACGGAGGTCACGTATTCATCTGACGTGCTCCCACAGTTGGAGCATGGCGATTCCCTGCAGACACTGACTTGAGTTGTACAAGAGCACAGACGTGTTGGCCTGCCAGAATTCTCCGTGTACCGGCATCTTCGACTACTTGTGGAGACAATATCCTGGCTAGATGGAGTTGATACAGCTACTACTCGGGGTCATACCTGATAAGCTAACCAGACCTTGTCACCCCTTTTTGGTATGTATCAACAGGTAGGAGATACCAATCGCCAAATATGGATTTGGCATTTACGCATATATCACCTGATTCTGCAGGTGTATCTGGCAGGCCATCCATATTTCAGGCATCAGTGACGCTCGGATGAGCGGTAACCTACTTCGTGCTTGAGTTGCCTCGAGTGTATGTAACAAGGTCGCTGCACGAGCTCTGCGGATAATCTATATTCACTGGGCTGTAAATCACAGGCTGTGCGGATTTGTATTACCGAAATGAGAACGATGACTACTAACAAGACGTTTTAGATAGACTGCCCGACTTGACGGTAACCGCGCTCTTCACACCTAGAATTTCGAAAAGAGTTCATTCTGCAATATTCCGTAATGATTGTATTCTGAAAAATCTGAGGTATCTTTAGAATCATCTCAATGTCTCTCTTGCCATGCGATGGGTGGGTGATGGAACTATGGTTAACAAAGTCATCCGTACCATAGCCTGACAATACCATCAAATAGCCTGACCAGCATACACATTTTGACATTGCAGCCAAATTCAAAATGGCACAGCCCAAAGTCATGATATCCTTACTGAGGAATTGCGGGGACTATTGCACAATCAACTTTCAAATTTCCTCTGCGTCTCCATAAGGGAACCATAGTGGAAATGTTTCCCTTGAACACACCAGATAACATGCGGCAGCTGCTGAGACTCCCGATGAGCAATGATTTCTCTGACGCAGCCGTATCTGTCCCTAACCCTTTGGGTCCTCATATGGCAGATGGGCCTGCATCAATCTAATCATTAAACTCAGGCATCTCCATCATTTACAAAAAGGCATCGGGAAACATGGAACGCGAATGATTAGCCGCATGATACCTTAGTTCGGGCATACTAACATGTTCCTTTAATGTTGCAGCTTCGGAAAATGTAAAAATGATTAATCAACCAATTTCAGTGAGTCTCGAGGAACGCCTGGCCAAATGATAGCTTATTTTGCACAGGGTATGAGAGCCCACCGTGGCTATCGAAAGAAGTCGCTCATCGACAATGATGATCGAATCATGCAAGTGCAGAAAGACATTCAGGTTTGCTACATTTCATCCTTTCGTTTGCCATCAGTTCGCTCGTTTACAAGACTGGGTAACCATGTAAATAGGCACCATGCAGGATGATAGTAAGGCATCTTGGCTACCAAGGCAGCCAATCCGGCGAGGACATTTGATTTGATTGGCAGCTTGACCAGACATTACCATATTCCGCGCGCGCGTTCTATGGGAGTGCCACCGGTTACAAACGGAAAAAGCATGGGCAATAAACAAATCCTTCGATCTGCTGACTGGCTACACATTCTCCAAGAGCCTCGAAATGGTACATCATGCAGGCTTGATAATAATTCGAAAAGGCAGCCTGTTGCCAGGCAAGATTAGAACCACCTCAGGCATTCGCCTTAAACCCCGCAAATGACAGCCGCTTCGACTGGAAGTCAGCCAAATCTACATAATCTGCAGTCGTGGTGCTCAAGCCTCTGGGATTCACGGGCTATTTGCAGACAATGAATGGCTTCCCTTCTTGAGTAAGTCCTCTTGTGACCCGAACGGAGAATTTCTCTTTTCAGTTGAACCTTGGACCTCATGAAAGCTTGATGTCATCTGTTTCGAAGCCACTAGCCTTCAGGCTGCCATGCAAAAAAAAAAAAAAAAAGTTCGTTTGAAACATACCAGCGATATCAGAGAGCCGTTTCACTTGGAGGTGTAGGTAGTACAACCTTTCTAACAGACTCCCGATGCTGACCGCTTCACATATACTTACGCAGTATTGTCAGTAGTTAGTGGCATGCCTCTGCATTAAGCCTTCCGTTAATCGTCTTCATCTCGCAACCCGAGCAGTAGTATCATATTTGAATTTATTACTATCCGGTATAGAAGAAGTTGACCAGCCTCAGCATATCTATAGATGAATAAACAACTTATATCTGCTACATCATATTGTGTTATCACTTGTGGATTGAGGTCCCTGTCCCTGATCTTGTTAGTCGAATGATGACGTAGTTGAGATATAGGGAAGACTGATCAATAAAAGATCAAGGTGCGAAGGGCATATGATCCATCACTTCAATGCCACCTTTCGTCACCCCGGAATGGCGTTTGCACGTACCCTCCCGATTCCCTCCGCTATGTCGTATCGTTTAACATTCCTAATATTCTGCATCTGCCCAGAAATATCGGTGCATAGCAAGTGCGAGGGAACTATGCATCTTAAAATGGCATTTTCTATGGCTGTAAATCTCGGCGGAACACAGTCCCGGATAGTCGCTTGCGCGGGGTACAATAAACACGATAGTTGAATGTTGGATTTTGGAGCTCTAGAAACAGCCTTGTGAGGTGCTGCAGATATCCATCTCAAGATATTCCGATAAGCTGAGCACTTGGCTATCCCCACCTAGCACTGTTATCAATTTCCCATCATGACAATGAGCATTGAAAGCAACAATAGTGCAGGACATGGGATGGCTGAACGAACCCAGGGTCCAGACTGGGGTCGACGGTGGGGCGGCGTGGGGTCTGGCCTGTGAAAGGGTCTCTCTCTCACTTTCTTTATCAGTCAAGCCAGACAACTAATGACTCGAGTGGTTACTTGTAGTTCGTCTTAGTTGGGATTCTTCATGTTTTCTAATCTTCGGCACTCCCTTCTCATTTTACATCTTTTGCACGGCATTGTCTGCTATTTGTCAATTGACCTCATAGAAGCAACGCCTGTCACTAGGCCCCAATGATACAATTACAAAAGCCCCCAGATACGTTCTGGCCAGTCTATTGTGCTCATGTGGGGGGCTGCTGTTTGGGTAACGATCTATTTTCTATTTTCTTTAGGGGGGGCATTTTGTACAACATTAAGAGAAGTTCCATAGAAGGGATACTGGCATCATTGGGCCTGTCACGGTTATGAGCAGCTTCGTTTCACAATATGGCAGCCAATGATCAACAGTCCATGGCTTGATCGTCTCTTCCATCTTCATTCCAGCCGCAGTTTCTTCCTTATTCGCGGGGTATCTAGCAGACAAATTGGACAGGCCCAAGGGTATCAGCATCGGTGCCCTGATCTTTGCGATTGGAGCAGCTTTGGAGGCGGCTGCTGTGCATATCGGGATACTTGTTGTGAGACGTTGCATTGAGTATGTGGGTGAGGGATTATATCTAGGCACCCTGGTCGTGTATGTGGCTATCCTATGAACAGTGGTCCTTTTGGTTTCTTGTTCTCTGATTGATCGGCAGCTACATTTGCGAAACCTCTCCGCCAAGGGTTAGAGGAGCATTGACGACCGGACCCCAGTTGCTGGTTACTCTGGGGTTGACGATCGGGTTTTTTTACATCCTACGGTACTTCTCGTATGAACTCTTCCTTTTCATGGCGCACGCCTTTCATTATCTTGGCTTGTCTGGCTACTACCTTCTCTGTAGCTTCACTCCTGTGGTTAGCTCCCTCACCAAGATGGTTGACCCTCCACGGCCGAAGATCGGAGGCTACTGCAGTTTGGGACCACCTTGGTGTCAGCTAGGCTGAACGTGAAAAGGCTGAGATTAAGCAGACTCAGGGCGTCACTATTGAGGTTGTTGCGAGTGCTTCCAGCGACAGACATGCTCCGTCCGTTATCTCAACATCAAGACAGTTTAGTGGAGCACAAGTATTTTGACCTGTTTTCCAAAGATGTACGGACACGCACTGTTTTGGCGGTGTTTCTCATGGGCATGCAGCAACTCAGCGGAATTGATGGTGTACTCTATGTGGGTTTTCCGGCTATACCTATTGTCGTCTCCTGCTGACATCTGCTTTAAGTATGCCCCATTGCTTTTCGAGCAAGCAGGCTTAGCTTCCTCAGATGCTAGCTTCTTTGCCTCTGGTGTTTCTGCAACAGTCATCTTCGCCGTAACCACACCGGCGCTCATATGGGCAGACAGGTGGGGCCGACGACACAGCACTATCTACGGTGGCATCGGCCTCGCCGTCACAATGTTCTTAATAGGGGGCCTCTACGCAGGGGATGCCGTACACAACTCGACTAGTGCATGTCGGTGGGTGGTCATTGTCTGCATCTTTTTATTTGCAGTCATTTACTCTCAGCTGGGCAGTTGGCATAGAGATTTATGCAGCAGAGATACAACCACAAAGGACTCGCGCATCGGCCACTAGCCTGGCACATGGCAGTAATTGGGCCGCCAACTTTCTGGTCGCACTGACGATACCCATATTGCTATCAAAGAGCAGCTTTGGTGCATACTATCTCTTTGGAGGATGCACCCTGATTACGGCATTCATCTGCGCCCTCTTCATGCCCGAATCAAAAGGACAATCCTTGGACGATATTGAGGATGCATTCAAATCTAAGTCGCTGTCCAGAACAGTGTTGAAGGCCTTCAGACCTATTACTCAGACAGCCCAGGGATAATCAACTTGAATCGGGAAAAAAACATTGTATGTCATGCACATGCACTACTTAGCTGCACATGCCAGAAACGTAACCGTGCAGCCTGCCATAGCCGATAAGATAAGAAATGCACATACCTACTCGATCCAGTTAGCCTGTTAATTTGTAAGCTAAACAGTAGCCTAACCGTTCCAGGATAGCTGCTCATTACCTAAGCAATTATTCTGCCGAATTGGAATTTAGCCCGGATATTTCCCCTCGCTGATAAAGAAGAAATTGTGCCCGTCACCCCAGAATGCCGTGATATTCTCCTACACCTTGACACTTGGCATACGGCAGTACTCAGTTCCTCTAGGGGGAGATCATCACCGTTTGAACAGCGATGCCGCCCCGCAGAAGAGCGCCGATCTCTGCGGCGAACCTGCGATCTGCGCAACCTTCAGAGGCAAGTATCAAGTGTTTTACGATTTGCCGTAGAGAAGGGTCCCAGGCTAACGGCTCCTGATAATATAGGGCGCAGCATCTTCAAGGCCAGGTGCCGCGGAGACCACGAAACGCAGACGCCCTTCCCAGACCGCACAATCTCACCGAACCGAACAGCCGCCACCACCAAGTGCGGAGGAACAGCAGCAGAAGTCGACTGAGGAGCACGAGCATTCGCATTCTACATACCGCCACCGCGATCCATTTGATGCGCTTCTGGAGCCTTTCTACTACAACAAGTCTCTCACGGATCCGATCAACACTGCGAAAGACAAATGGAACCTTTTGCCGGCTTTCCTCAAGGTCAAGGGATTGGTGAAGCAGCATATTGACTCATACAACTACCTTGTTGAGGTCCAATTGAAGAAGATTGTCGAGTCCAGCTCTACAATTCGAAGCGATGTCGACCATACCTTCTACACCAAGTTCACCAATATCTATCTGGGTTTCCCGCGCCGTGCCGACGAACCGCAGGATGCGCGGGCCGACTTCACCTATTCGACTGTGTCCCCGCAAGAGTGTCGCCTGCGTGATACGACGTACGCGGCTCCCATTCAGGTCGATTTCGAGTATGTCCGTGGTCGTCAAAGGGTCATGAGGAAGGGTGTCGCCATTGGTAGAATGCCAGTTATGCTTCGGAGTTCCAAGTGTGTGTTGGCAAACAAGACGCCGACGGAGATGACGGTGCTGAACGAGTGTCCTCTGGACCCTGGTGGTTACTTCATCGTGAACGGAACCGAGAAGGTCATCCTTGTCCAGGAACAGTTGAGCAAGAACAGAATTATCGTCGAAACCGATCCCAAGAAGGAGATTGTCCAGGCGTCGGTTACAAGGTGAGAGATCTTCGTGATTGACCGTCGAGGGCTATATTGTTAATATGGTTGCAGTTCTTCCAACGAGAGAAAGTCGAAGAGTTACATCGTTCTCAAGAAGGACAAGCTCTACGTGAAGCACAACGTGCTCAGCGAGGATATTCCCATTGTCATTCTTTTGAAGGCGATGGGTATTCACACAGACAAGGAGATGCTTCTGCTGGTCGCGGGTGTCGACAAGGTTTACCAGGAAGACTTTGCCATCAACTTTGAGGAGGCGATCAAGTTGGGTATTTACACACAACAACAGGCTTTGGATTGGATTGGTGCACGGATTAAGATCAACCGCAAGCAGTCGCCTTCTTACCGCCGTACCCATGTTCAGGAAGCCGTCGAGGCCATTGCCTCTGTCATCATCTCCCACATCGAAGTGAAGAACATGAACTTCCGGCCCAAGGCTGTCTATGTTGCGCACATGGCGCGTCGTGTGCTTATGGCCAAGAACGATGCAAGTTTGGTTGATGACCGTGATTATCTCGGAAACAAGCGTCTGGAATTGGCTGGTCAACTGCTGGCTTTGCTCTTTGAAGATTTGTTTAAGAAGTTCTGCTTCGACATCAAGATGAACATCGACAAAGTCCTGAACAAGCGCAACCGTGCCGAGGCGTTTGATGCTTACAGTGTTATTACCATGCATAGCAACCATATCACCCAGGGTATGAATCGTGCTATCTCGACAGGTAACTGGAGTTTGAAGCGTTTCCGCATGGAACGTGCTGGTGTGACCCACGTGCTCAGTCGACTGAGTTATATTGCGGCTCTGGGTATGATGACCCGTATTAGCAGTCAGTTCGAAAAGACGAGAAAGGTCTCTGGTCCTCGTGCATTGCAGCCTTCGCAGTTTGGTATGCTCTGTCCGGCCGATACTCCCGAAGGTGAGGCCTGTGGTCTCGTCAAGAACTTGGCACTCATGACCCATATCACAACCAACGACGAAGAGGGCCCGATTAGGAACTTGATTTTCATGCTCGGCGCCGAAGACATCCAGACTGTGGGTGGTAAGGAACTCTACGGACCAGGCTGCTACACGATCTCAATCAACGGAACACCCACTGCACTCACACGTCGTCCGAAATACTTCCTTGACGCATTTCGCAGACTGCGTCGGATGGGACGTATTTCCGAGTTCGTCAGTATCTACATTAACCACCACCAGAGGGCCGTTCATGTCGCGACCGACGATGGGCGAATCTGTAGACCTCTTATCGTCGTCGAAAACGGCAAGTCTCGTGTCAATGCCCAGCACCTCGAGAAGCTGCGTAATGGTACAATGCAGTTCGATGACTTCCTTGCTCAAGGTCTGGTTGAGTATCTTGATGTCAACGAAGAGAACGACTCCTTGATCTCCATCTACGAGAAAGACATCACAGAAACCACCACCCATCTGGAGATTGAACCCTTCACAGTCCTCGGTGCAGTCGCCGGTCTTATCCCCTACCCTCACCACAACCAGTCCCCCCGTAACACCTACCAATGTGCCATGGGTAAACAAGCTATCGGCGCGATCGCCTCCAACCAGTTCCTGCGTATTGATTCGATCCTGTACCTTATGGTCTACCCACAAAAGCCCATGGTCAAGTCTCGCACCATCGAGCTGACTAAATACGACCAGCTTCCTGCCGGACAGAACGCCATTGTCGCCGTCATGAGTTACTCTGGCTACGATATTGAGGATGCCCTGGTCCTGAACAAGGGATCAGTCGACCGCGGCTTTGGACGCTGCCAGGTGTTCCGGAAATACGTCACCAACCTGAAGAGTTACTCCAACGGCACGAAGGACCGATTGAGCGGACCAACCTACGAAAATGACGCACCGATCCGCAAGCACGCTCTCCTCGAGAGCGACGGTCTTGCCGCTGTCGGTGAACAAGTCAACGCCGGCGAAGTCTACATCAACAAGTCCACGCCCGACCAGTCCATGTCCTCAGGCTTCCCCAACTCCGACGCCGGCCGGCCCGTCTCCTACATGCCCACCCCCATGACCTACAAGCTCCCAGACCCCGCCTACATCGACAAAGTGATGGTCTCGGTCACCGAGAACGAAAACCAGCTCGTCAAGGTCCTAACCCGCCAGACCCGTCGCCCGGAAGTCGGCGACAAGTTCTCCTCGCGTCACGGACAGAAGGGTGTGGTGGGTATCATCGCCGACCAAGCCGACATGCCCTTCACCGACACCGGCATCAACCCTGACATTATCATGAACCCTCACGGTTTCCCCTCTCGAATGACAGTCGGAAAGATGCTGGAACTCGTCGCCGGAAAAGCCGGCGTCCTGGCCGGCCAGCACGGCTACGGTACTTGCTTCGGCGGCAGTCCCGTCCAGGAAATGTCCCAGATCCTTATCGACAACGGCTTCAGCTACGGTGGCAAGGACTACCTCACCTCGGGTATCACGGGTGAAGCCCTGCCCTTCTACGTCTTCACAGGTCCCATCTACTACCAGAAACTGAAGCACATGGTCCAGGATAAGATGCACTCGCGTGCTCGTGGTCCTCGCGCTATTCTCACCCGTCAGCCTACGGAAGGTCGTTCCCGTGACGGTGGTCTGCGTCTGGGAGAGATGGAACGTGATTGTTTGATCGCGTATGGTACTAGTCAGCTTCTGCTGGAGCGGTTGATGATCTCGTCTGATCGTCATGAAATCGATGTCTGCGAGCAGTGCGGTTTCATGGGTTACCTGAACTGGTGTCAGCGGTGCAAGTCGTCCCGGAGCGTGGTGAAGATGGCTATTCCGTATGCGGCGAAGCTACTCATTCAGGAGTTGATGAGTATGAATGTTACGGCGAGATTGAAGCTTGATGACGAGTTTCCTGAGATGAAGGGGCGGTAAGCTGCCCTCCTAGTATTCCGTCTCAGTGGATGGACAACGATGATAGGACGGGACATACGGATCAAGAGGAAATGAACAAACACCACAACAAAAACAACAACTGATGAATGGAAAAAGAAGAAAAAGTTAGGCGTTTCATTTGGTTCATCGGAGTGTGTACATAAAAGCCGGTTCTGGATGTGTCTTTTCTTTTGCTTCTTGTTGCATGCATAGCGCTCGGCGATCGTCGGTCGACTTATTCTAAATCTTATTGCAAATATGCAGTAAAACATCCCCTCCATCCATCCACCGTAACCTTATTAACTAAACCCCCGTCTAGATAGTAGTATCTTCTATGATCTCCCCAACAACCCTCCAATACCTACCCCCATCCACCCTCATATGCTCAACATGCCCACTACCCCTCCCCCACTTCTCCCTCCTCACCACAACACCACCACCACCATGATCATCCCCAAAAACCCTCTCCGCCTCCCGCGCATGCTCCTCCACATCCCTCCATTCCACCAACCCATCCCCCTCCGAATAAACATAACACCGTCTCACCCGCTCCCCCACAACGCTCTTATCATTCAGCAATCGTCTCCCCTTACTCACCCCATCCTCACTCCCAACCACCCACCCCAATCCAAACATCACCAGCAACATACACCCCAGCAACAACCTCCCCACCCAATTCAGGATAACATTCTTGGGAAGACCGAACGAGAACGCGCGAAACGCACCAACCAGTGATGGTTTCCCGGGTGCGCTGTCAATGAGCAGCGATGTGATGGGGAGGGTGTGTCCGGTCGTGGATTTGTAGGAGGAGAGGAGAGTCGTGGTTGTGTAAACGC